CGCCAACGCTGCGCCAGAGGCGGAAGCACCCGCCGAGGCCGTGCCAGAAGCGGAGGCACCCGCTAAGGCCGAGCCAGAGGCCGCGTCCGAGGCGCCCCAGCAGGCGGAAACACCCAAGAAGGCGCCCGCACCCGCCAAAGCCGCGGGGGCGCCGGCAGAGGCACCCGAGGCTTTGCCGGAGCTAGCGCCCGCCAAAAAAGCAGCTGATGCGGTTACCAAGGAGGACAAGGATGCGGCGCCGCCTGCAGAGTCCAAGGTCGCGCCTGAGCCCGCGCCAGCGGTTGGCCAGACAGGAGCCTCGAAATCGGCGCCCAAGCCGACCGCAGGCTCGCCGCCATCGCCCCGCCGCGCCAAGCCGCCGCCGACGGCCGTCAAGGTGGTAGCAGTTGCGGCAGAGGCCATCGTTCACAACGGCGACGACATCGATCCCGAGGGTGAGCGGCACCGAGGGCAGCAGTGGCGCTTTGGCGGCTCGGCATGCACCGGGAAGAGGAACGGCGCTTGAACGCCCAGGGTCGGTCACTGCGCTCCTGCAGGACAAAACGCGGCTAGACTGCGGGCGAGGCACTGCAGTGCACTGGCGCGCACCTTGGCTGGGGCTACTTTGAGGATCTTGCCTCGGACGGGCAGGCGCCCCCTACCTCGGCATCCCCTCGCAACCCCATTTTCGCCCCAACCAACTTGGCCAGGCGCGTGCCAGGACTTCCTGCCGTCGTCCACCTGCAAGGACGTTGACCTGGGGGACGGCCGGCTGGCAGAGTGCGTCAGCCAGCTCATAGCGGCGGCCGAGTCGGAGGGCGAGGACGGCGAGGCAGGTGCGCGCGGCGGCGCGCGGGCGCGGCCGGCGCCCCTTCCCTCTGCCGTTTCGTGCGATGTGCTTTGGACGACGGCTGGCGGCCGGCGGCGCCGCTGAGCTGGCTGCTTGGCGCACTCTAGGTTTGTGTGTGCTGGTTGGCTCCCTCACATCCAGGCCTCCGAAATCTTGTGCCAATGCGTCCCCCCGCAGTGCCTGTGCCCGAGCTTTGTGAAGACGAGGTGTACAAGTACTACATCAACCGCAGCACAAACATCAACCTGAACGTGCCGCTGGGTGAGCAGGCCGCAGAGGCGTGTGGAGCGGGGCCGTTTGGTGGCGGACTTGGAGAGTGCGTGCAGTGTAGTGGGCGTCCGCACCTGCAACGCGGGCATGTTAGGCTCAGAAGTGGGGCAGCTTCTTTAATCAGTCATCATCAGTCAACCGCGCTCATGCCCTCCCTGCGCCGCCCATCTGCCCCCCCCCACCTTTCCCCCCGCGCAGCCAAAGCCTGCAAGGAGGACGCTGAGAAGTTCTGCAACAACACCTGGTTCTTCGGGCCCACAGAGGGCCGTGTCATCTCCTGCCTCAGGTTCGGCTGATGCGCGGCGGCCAGCAATCCATTTTGATAGAACTTTGCTCGGGTTGATTGACGGCTAGATTGAGCATGTTGTGCGGCTATGCCAGGCGTTGCGGGCAGGCCTCCAGCCTTGCAGCCCTCGGTCTGGCGCCAGCGCAGCCAGCGCGCCACGGGGCGGCGCGCCAGCATCCCCTTTCCCGCCCCCTTGACGCAGCTTTCGTGCCTGCCTCTCACGCTGCCAGCCCGCCGAATCAACTTGACCCTCCCAAGGCAATACCCGCCATTCTTGCCATGCGCACTACGTCGCCCCTGAACAGCCCTGCAGCTCTGATTTGTGCGCACGGCGTCCCAGGCCATGCGCACGCCCTCACGCCCCCCTTCAAACAATATGCAACCCCAGGGACATCAAGGACAAGGTGACCTCGCCCTGCAAGGTGCAGATCTTCAAGCTGCAGCGCGCAGCCGCGCGCGACTACCGCGCGGACCCCGCCATCAAGGAGGCGTGCCAAGGGGACGTGGACCGGCTGTGCGGCAAGGACGTCAAGGAGGGCGGCGGACGCAAGCAGGCCTGCCTGGTGAGCGACCGGGGACTGTTTCTTTCTGGGTTGGGGAACACGGGGCGGGCGTGCGGGGGCCAAGGAGCCTGGCTCGTGGGGCGCTGCTGCGGCAGGGGCGCCAGCCGTTGCAGCCTGGGCGGCTGCTTCTGAAGTGCCCGGAGCGCTGCAGAAGTTGGCGGACTGATCGCCGCGCCCAACTCCTTGCCCGACGCGTGCTGCCCAGCCACCAACCTGCACGCCCCTTCCCCAATGCGCAGCGCGAGAACCAGCTGAAGCTGAGCTGGGAGTGCGCGGAGCAGCTGTTCAGGCAGGAGCTCGAGGCGGACGACGACATCCGGCTGAGCGTGAGGCTGTACCAGCGGTGCCTCGGCGACAAGAAGCGCTTCTGCGCAGAGGTGGAGCCGGGGCAGGCGGAGGCGAAGGACTGCCTGGTCGAGCACAGGAACGACAACGGGTTCAGCGCGCCGTGCAGGTGGGTGCGTGTGCTGGTGTGTGTGTGTGTGTGTGTGTGTGTGTCTGCATGCGCGTGTGTGTGTCTGCGTGTCTGCCTATGTGTTTTTGTGCGCATGCACTCGTGCCGGCATAGCAGTGCCGGCATGGGAACTCTCAAGTGCTCATGTTTAGGTGCGCAGGGATGCGTGTCACAAGGGCAGATCACATGAGGGCAGCGGCCACGCTGTGCCTCAGACCGACCATCACGCTGTCCAGCACTTACTCAGCCCGGCCTTCTCCCTTCATCGCAGGGAGGAGCTCGAGTCGATGCTAGAGCGCCGCGTGCGCGACTTCCGGATCGACAGCCGCCTGCGTCGCAACTGTCAGCAGGACATCATGGTGCTGTGCGGCATGTTTGACTCCGTGGGCGGTGACGAGGCTGAGTACAGCATCTGCTTGCAGGTGGGCAGTGCAGAGGGCTTGTCGGCCGGCAGCATGCGGCGTGCACCTCTTGCCTGAGCGCGTGTTTTCTTTGTGTGACGATCTGCATGGGCGTGCGTGCACACACATGCACACACATTCACACGGCACGCATGCTTTCATGCACACATAGCAACTGCCTCAGACACATGCTGACATGCATGCACAACCCAGCAATCAACACCAAGGCATATACACAGCACGCATTTGCATGCGCCTTCACCACACTATGACAACCCACCCCCCTTTCCCCCAACGGCCGCATGCGACCAGGACTATGTAAATGAGATCCGGGATGACAAGTGCCGCGCCCTGGTGCGGCAGTACCAGGGCCTGGCGGCGCAGGACATCCGCTTTTCGGCGCCGCTGGCTGACGCCTGCTTCGACGACCGCACAAAGCTCTGCCCCAACGTGCCGCCGGTGGGTTGCAAAGATGTGCCCCTGCGTGCACACATGCACGCATGCAGGCGTGCGGGCATGTGTGCGTGTGCGTCCAGGTGTTGGTCGTGGTTTGTGCCAGCGCATGCATGAAAGTACAAACATGCGCGTGTTAATCTGAAAGGTGTGCGTAGTTGTTTTACAGGACAAGATGCATGCATTGCCAGAAAAAGAGTGCTGGGTGTCAGCAACATGCACAGCCATGATCCTGACCCTCGTCCCCACGCCTCGCCCCGCGCCAACGCCGTCGTGCCGCAGGGATCCGCACGCGTGATCCGCTGCCTGCAGTCGCAGCGCGCCGGGCTGTCCCCCACCTGTCGCGCCACGCTGTTTGACTCCGAGGTCACTTTTTCGGAGAACATCGACTTCCAGTACCCCATGAAGCAGGCGTGCTCCAAGGAGATCGGGCTCTTCTGCGCCAAGGTGCCGCACGGCAACGCGCGCGTCATACGGTGGGTGCCACTGGCGGGGGGTGGGGGGACTGTTTCTGTATAGTGTCGCGGCAGCTTGAGGCAAGACAGGTTGATAGGTGCAGGGCCTGGTGGCTGTATGCTTGGGCTTGAAAACGCATGCTTTGCACACATGTTTGGGCATCGCGTGCATGCACACATTTCACACTGCTGAGCCCTCGCGCATACACTCTCTCTCTCACACACACACACACTCACACACACACACGTGCGTGCCCACACACACATATACATACACATGCGTGCACTCACTTATTCAACACATGACGACGTAATCAGGTGTCTCCAAGAGAACAAGCAGAAGAAAGATTTTGGCAAGGCCTGCAAGGCCGAGGTGGCGGCCTACGAGCAGCGGGCATCCCAGGACTACCGCCTGAACCACAGGCTGCGCACCTCCTGCCGAGCGGACGTGGGCGCGCTGTGCAAGGGCGCGTGCGACGAGGACAAGGATGACCAGGTGTGGGCATGTTTTGGTGTGTGCGTGTGCGTGTGTGTGTGCGCGTGCGTGCGCGCCAGGGGTGTGCGCTTTGTCTGGCAACGGTGTGGGGTGGCTGCTGGGGGACGCCACATGTGCAGGGGCAAAGGGGGGTGGCTGCCGGCCCAGCGGCCAACCCTGCGGGCACTTCGGTCCTGCACGAGTTGACAGCGGTGGCGCCTGTCGTGCGGGGACGTTGCTTGAGCGTGCCATAAAGCGGCGGGGCCTCTTGAGGTGCCAGGGGCTCTCCCGCAAGCAGCGCACTGCGCCAGCCGACGCACACCCCCAAGCCCGAGCTCGGGACCTGCAAACAGCGCCCGCCCTCTTTGCGCTCAGGTGTGCGGCGGCTCTGTGCTGCGGTGCCTGACAGAGAAGATTGATGACGTGAAGAGCGAGGCCTGCCGCAAGGAGGTGTTCTATTACATGAAAATGGAGGTGTGTCACTTGGGGCTTGCCCTTGCTTGAGCTGCCCTTGGGTTTGCCCCTTGCTTTTGTGGCCCGTGGTGTTGCAGGCAGAGGTGTGGGCTTAAAAAGCGGGACGTGGGGAGTGACGCGGCACCGTTTGGCAGATGGCAGGTGCCTGCCTCTGTGTTTTGTATTGAAGGACTCCAGCGTCTGGCACCCCAATCTAACGCACAGTGAACTCCGCCTTTTTCCCATTGTTGATTCCACGTGTGTTGGGGAGAAGGCAGGGGGAGAGGGGCTTCAAGCGTAGCACTGCGGCTGCGTGTGGCAGGCAGCAAAAGGCAGCAATGGAAGTGCGGCTTGCAAAAGTTTTGCGTCCGTCCTGCATCCCAGCAGCTAACCGCCATGCGGGACGACGCTCCCTCCCCCCCACCCCAACACACACACACGCCTCGCAGGTCCAGGACTACCACAATGACGTCATCCTGGCTGCCGCCTGCCGGGGCGACGTGGACAAATTCTGCAAGGACGTCGCGCCGGGTGGGCGGGGTGGAGGGGGCCAAGGGCAGGGGCCAGGCCGTCGTTGGGGCCTTTGTACTCAGTGCATGGAGGTGGAGCGGAACCCGCAACACCACACGGTGCCTGCGCGTGCAGGCGGCTGTGCTGTCGTTCCCATCAGGGCCAACCAGAACAGCGCCGTTGGCCTTGGGCCTGTAGGCTTTGCTGGGCTTGCGCACCCGTGAGCCGCGTCCCTAAGCTGCCCCCTGTGCTCGTCATCATCAGCCTCCCCTTTCCGCCCCCGCCCTCCCCGCAAGCAGGCGCGCAGGGCGGCGTGCATGGCTGCCTGCGCACGCACCACAAGGAGCTGTCTGAGGGCTGCCGCGCAGAGCAGCTGCACCTGGAGCAGTCCGAGGCAGAGAGCGTGGAGCTGCGCCCCAGCCTCATAAGGGCGTGCGTCGGCGAGCGGCAGCTCTTCTGCAAGGACGTGCGGCCGGGTAACGCGCGCGTGTTCAGGTGCGCGGGCGGACGGCGCGGCTCGCGAGCGGCGGAGGCGAGGCAAGCCAGCCGACGCCCCCCGCAGCGCAGCCAGAGCTGTTGTGCAGTGGTGCCAGTGCGATTTGTTCTCAGTCATGCCATGTTGGGCAGCCGTGGCGCGCCGGCATTGACAGCAGCGGCGGCCGTGCGCGGCGGACACACACACACACACACACACACACACACACACACACACACACACACATATCGCCAACGACAGGTGTCTGGCCAACAAGCTAGCAGACCCCGATTTCGGCCCCGTGTGTCGTGGGGAGGTGATCACCAAGATCCAACGGAGGTGGGCACAGGGTGCAGGAGGGCTTTAGGGCATGGGGTGTTTTCATTCCTTGGAGTTTGGTCAGCGAAGCACTGGGCTGCCTGGCAAGGGGCAGGGCTGAGTTGTTTAACGTCTTGACTGCCTTTGACCTGCCTCATTCCCCCCCTCCACCACCGTTCCCCGCCCACACCTGGCGGCCCGATCTGCCCGGGCTAGCCGTGCCAAAGCTCAACCCCGCTTCTCCACACCTTCCCCCGGCACCCCCCGGCACCCCAGGCAAGCCAACTGGCGCCTGGACCCCCCGCTGCGCCGTGCGTGCCGCGCCGACGTTGCAAAGGTGTGCGCCCCCGAGGATCGGCAGGCGTCCGAGTCCGGCCTGGTTTACAAGTGCCTGGTCGCCCACGCCGACGAGGTGGACGCCAGCTGCAGGCGGGAGCTCGGCCGCGCGCTCCACATGGCGTTCTTCGTGTGGATCCCGGGCAGCATCCTGACCAGCCCCTGCGACGTGGACATCGCGCAAGTGTGCCTCAAGGAGCGGCCCAACATGCTGCACCAGACGGGGCAGATCGCGCAGTGCCTGGCCGACGGGGTGAGGCGCTGCCCGGCAGGGGCCCCGCCTGGAGGGTCGTAAGGGGCTGGGGGCAGGACTGCAAACGGCTGCGGCGCAACGCGTCCGCCTCAACTCGACTGGCCATGTGTATGCACGCCCGCGCGCTTTCGCTGCGCCTGCTGCCACCTCCATCTCACCCCGTGCTGCCCTCCCCTCAGTTTTTTTGCCCCCTGATCCAACTGCCTCCCACCTCTGAATGTCACCCTACACTCACACCCCCACCACCACACCCCTTGCAGCTGGACCGCATCATAGCGGCGGAGGGCGCCGGACGCAAGAACTTGCGGGACGCCGCCTCGGGCCCCCCTCTGCCGTCCCTCAGCCCAGAGTGCCGCGCCCTCGTCGCGCTCGCCGCGCCGCCAAACATGCGCGCGGCCTTCGACGAGACGCTCTCCGCCGCGGCGCTGCTCGGCGGGCGCCTGTCGGCGCTCGAGCCGCTCGCGGGCGTGCCGCTGGTCGAGAGGGACGGGCGGGGGCGGGCGCAGGGGCTGACGCTGACGGGGTGGACCGCGGCGCTCGGGGTCGCGTGCCTGGCGGTTGCGCTGATGGCCGCGGCGACGTACGCGTGGCGCGCGTACACGGGCGCGGGCGACGCGTCGACGCTGGTGCTCAAGTCGCGCGCGGGGTACAAGCGGGTCGACACGACGGGGGCTTAGGTGGCTGGCACGTGCCCAGTTCGGGGCCGCGCGGTGCGCGGCTTGGGCCTCGGAGAGGAGTCGGCGGTGCGCGCGCAGCGCCCTGTATGGCAGCTTGCCACCTGGTTGGGCGCATCGGGCGTCGCGCAGATATGTGCATCAGAGCACAGCGATACCTGTGCCCCTGTGCTGGCTCGCAGTTCTTGCATTGCACGCGAATATTTATCCTCTGACTGTAATTTGCACATTTGAAGTGGTCAACTGCGGCGGCACGACAACGGGATTGCGGCAAACCAGCATTTATGCCGTGCAAAGTACTCATTGGGACGCTTTGACCTGCAGCTGGACCAACACCATTGACAGCCCAGCTCAACTCAACCTGGGCGAGCTGAGCCGTGCGACTCGAAGGCTGGCGCTGAGCGTACCGCGACCTGCTGGTCCACATCAGCGCGCCGTGTCGCGGAGAATCGTCGCGCCGAGGCCACTCAGGGGCGCATAGCCGCCTATATCCTGTCGCAATGTTGACCTGTTTTCAACAGATGGGGTCAACCGGACCGGAGGTGCTTTCTTTGCGCGGGGGAAGGCCTTCCGACAGTGCTTGCTACGGGCTCTTTTGAGCCCGAACGCCGTCAGCACCCTGTCATTTGAATTCAGATGTAGACAGACTTAGATTACCTCTAGCTCACATAGACATTAGGTAGCTCGCGCCTCGCACCCCTGCCAGCGTCCTCCCCTCCTCGCCCTCGCCGTGCCACCCTGTCCTCCCTGATCGTCTTCTGAAAGCTGTCAAGAGGCCTTCGTCACACCGCGCGCCCAGCACCAGCCCCACAAGCCCTCCCCGGCCCGGAGCCTAGGATCCACGACAAGACCCCCGCCACCCCGGCCCTCCTACGGATCGCCAGCGCCCCACCTTGTGCCTGATTCGTCGTCCACACCTCATGACAGCAGCCGCGCAAGCGCCTGGGAGCCCTCTACGGCCTCGTCGTCCGCCGCCACCCCGCCACGTCAGCGTCCTCTCAGACTAGAGGAGTCAACCTAGGAGGAGTACTTAATGGGACTCTAGTCAGCTTGTTCGTGACCATAGCAGATGCAGCGCAGCGAGTAGCCAGGCTCCCCACCATCACCGGCAAGCCTTGAGCTGTCGCGTGCCGTGCGGTCTGTGCCTTGCTTGCCTGCCCTGGTGCGCTTGCCTTGCCGCCCCGTGCGTGCATATGTGCAGCGCCGCGCCGCGTCTACCCCCAGGATCTGCACTCGAGGCCAGAAAGAGGTGAGCGGGGTGCGGTGGGCTGGCAGAGTTGCACGGCTGGCAGAGTTGATCTGCGGTGGTGTGTAAAGGGGTGTGTATGTGTGTAGTGCGGTGGGACGGAGCCGCGTGGCAGGCGCTCAGGTTTGCAAGTGCGCAGATCCGACGTTGGTGGGCAGCGTGTTAGCAGGAGTAGCAACCATGGGTCAGGTGGTGCAGCAATTGGGCAGGACTGGCGGCCGTTCGACAGGCTCAGTCGTCGGCGGCAGTGGCGAAACCCTTGTGACCTGCGCTGTTTGTGACCCAACCCAACCACCAGTGTGGCCAGCCCCTACGCACGCCAGCATCATATCTATGCGACCTGTGCAGCGCCAGCAGCATGTGTCGGCAATGCGGAGCGTTCTCATTTCGCCCCCCTTTCGCCTCGGCCCCCCTCCCCCCCCGCAC